AAAAAAAAAAGATTCAGACACAAGGTTAAAAAAAATATAAATGTATGGTTGAAAATGATGCAAAGACGAAAAAATGATTGTGAATCTCTCAAAACATTCTGGAAAAAAAAGAAAGACATGTTTTTTGGACGTCCTGAAAAGGAAATAAGAAGATTTTTTAGGGACGGATATTTAATATACTCCCTCCGTCTCCAATTAGATTACAATTTTTTTCTCTCTTCTTACGATAACTTTTGTTTGTTTACGCGATTTCATTTTGTATTTGATAAAATAAAATATTCTTTTCACTTCTTGTTTTGTAGAACTTTTGACGTAGTTTTTTAATATGTAATTTTTATTTCATATCGATATACCGATTTGTAAATAAAATAATTTCAAAAAAAATGAAATATTTCTCCTCGTAAACCCTAATTTGTAATCAAGTTGAGGACGGAGGGAGTATGCGTTGTTGTAAATTACTCTCTCTGTCGTACACTCCGTTATGTTTCTTCTTATATTAACTTTTATGATCAACCTTTTTAAACTTTAATCACAAATTACAAAAAAAATAGATTGAATTGTAATATAATACAGAGTACACATTTAATAAGGATTGATTCCTTTCAAAACGTAGTTTTCAAATTTCATACCCAGTAATTTTTTTAGTATCATTGACTTTATTACAATGTAATACATGTTCATATATTTCTCAACCTAATGACACCCAAAGAGACGACACCTCCGCCACTGCTTAGGATCGGATCTGGGTGAACTTCCCTATGAATCAAAGTTCACACCTAGTACTCCCTCCGTCCGTGAAAACATGAGTGATAGATTTTGATTTTTAAGAGGTTTAAGGAGAGTGTATTTTGATGTTGAGTTTTCAAACATATCCTTAGATGCGATGGCTAAACCTTTGATTTGACGGGTAGGTTGATAGTGAATAGATGTGATGTGATATATAGGTTAATGATTAGTGGGAATAAAACTAGCTTTTTTTATATAAATGAGAAAAAAATTTTGGACAAATGAAAGAAAAAAAGAATGATTTCCAGGGACGTATGGAGTATTATTTAAATAGAGATGTTAATAGTTAAAGTATTACATTGAAAATTGAAAAAAAATTAAAAAAATATGGGACTATGGAAACTATATACTCCGTATTTCATTTGTCTCTAATAATCAATTCATACCGGAATGCTCTTTTTTTTTGACAAATAAGGTTTGGTATCCATTATCAAAAACCATGGCGGAAAGAGCAGCATGGGATTACTGCAAAGAGAACGATATACATCTTGTGACGGTTTTGCCCACATTTATCATTGGACCAAGCCTACCCCCACAATTGTGCTCCACAGCATCAGATGTTCTTGGCTTCTTTAAGGGTAATTCAGTAATTCTCCATCATTCATTTTTGTACTTCTTCCATTCCAAATTAAATTGTCTATTTTACTCCCTCCGTCCCAAATTATAATGCATGTTCACTATTCACATGGTCAAACTCATTCACTTTCTTTCTCAATTTTCGTTAGCAATTTGATAAAATAAAGTACTATTGTCACTACTAGTTTTGTAGATCTTTTGATGTACTCCCTCCGTCCTAAAATGTTCTTCTCACTTACTTTTCACACGGTCAAACTTTAGTCACTTTCTTTACTTATTTTTATTAGGTATTTGATAAAATAATATAATCTTGTCACCACTTGTTTTGTAGAACTTTTGATGTAGTTTTTAAATATATAAATTTTATTTTTTAATTTTACACCTACAATCAAATAAATTGAATTAAAAATAAAGTCGGTCAAACTTCGTAAACAGAACCGGGAAGAACATTATAGGACGGAGGGAGTAGTATTTTAATATGTAATTTTTATTTTTTAATTATATACCATTTGTCATATTATTCATATAGTCAAACTTAATTATCTTTCCTTATTTTCGTTACTCATTTGATAAAATATTATAGTCTTGTTACCTCTTATTTTGTAGAGCTTTTGATATAGTTTTTTATGTGTAATGTTTATTTTTTAATTTCACCTCTATTCTCTAATAAATTGCATTGAAAATAATTTTCTCAAACGCAATAAATCGAAACAAACGATTTAAATTGGGAGAGAAGTTGTACTGCTTATTCTTAATGTTATCCCTTAGCATGACCATGATGATACTTTTTTATTTGTTTTAAAACATTTAGATGTATCAAGTTTGATGAAATTTGAGTGTAAATGTCATAATGTCTCATTTAATTTGAGACAAACGAAATAACATTTTTTCAAACAGGAGAGACTGAAAAGTTTCAAATGCATGGAAGGATGGGATATGTGCACATAGACGACGTTGCCGCCTCCCACATTCTTGTCTATGAGCATGAGGATGCGCACGGGAGGTACCTCTGCAGCTCCGACGTTGTCGAGCTCCCCGAGCTTGCCTCCATTCTATCGTCGCGTTACCCGACCCTTCACATCTCAAAGAGGTACACAATACGTACATATATGGCTCATAGAGCGCGAATCTTTCGATCGCGAATTCAACATTTATCATATGACATCAATTCATTTGAGAACATACAGTGTTGTTCTGTTGGACTCCATGATAGACTAATCTTTTGTTAACACATGGAGATATTCCTTAATGCTAGCCCTAATCACAATTTAGTGGGTGATTATTTCAGGTTTAGGAAACATGAGGACAGGCCATACTATGAATTTGACACCTCAAAGTTGAAGAGTTTAGGAATGAAGTTCAGGTCCATTGAGGAGATGTTTGATGATACTGTCAAGTCCTTGGTGGAGCAAGGCCATCTCTCACTATAAATAAATGATGCAAGTAATTAATAAGGGGGTAAATGTGACACAGCAATTTAATATATATGTGGCCTTTTTTATGTTGGAAATATTGTGAATGGAGCAATAAGTGTGACACATCTTTATTTCAATGTAGAAGTCTTTTTTTAATAATTATTCTTATAAGTGGATTTTATGGCATCATATATTGTTGTCAAATAAATAAAGGGAATAAAATTGAAGGGGTAAGTATAGGGTGGACTGAGTTGGAGGATTTACCAAAGGGTGGGGGTAAAATTATTAATTTTACGATTGAAACATCGTAATTAGTTACTCCGATTGGAATTGTTGTCATTTATGGCATCATATTTTGTTGTAAAAAAACGGAGGTGAACAAACTTTCGACTCATGGCAACTAATTTATGGCACTGACAATTTAACTTTGTTCAATTCCCAAACAGACTTTGTAAAACATTTATTCAATTTAATATTGACATTAGAACTGGCAAAAATGACCCGATCATTTTTTTACCCGAAACCCGATATGAAAACACTAAGTTTTGAATAAAGGTTTTGAAAACTCAATCCGAAATTGACTAAATCCGAAATGACCTGCTAAAAATAGGTCAAAACCGATCAAACTCGAAATCAACCTGACCGAAATGTAAGAATTTTTAAAAATTATACTCCGTGCGTCCCAAATTAAATTGTTTGTTTACTTTTCACAGGGTCAAACTTCATTCATTTCCTTTCTATTTTTTCGTTATTCATTTGGTAAAACAATGTAGTCACGTCATCATTAATTTTGTAGCTTTTTTGATGTACTCTATAACATTTTAACTTCAATTAAACATCGTCCTAGTGTATTTGTGGACTTTGATTTTTTGAAGTCAAACTGGAAAAAGTTTGAATTTCAATTACTTTCAATTTGTATTAGTATAATACAATTTTGAAAGTTCTATTACGATAAATTTAATAAAATCATTTTTATAGAAACACATATAACAATATTTATTTAATTAAAGCTCAAAATATATCAATTTTAACTCAAAAAACAAACTACATAAATACATTGAAACAATTATATTTTTTTCCGTACTACTCGTTTTTAGAGTATAAATTCATATTTCTTTTACAAATCTTTGATGATCGTGCATAATTGTCTTTTTTTCAAAATTTATGCATTTTTTTTTAATTTTTTATATTGATTTATACACCTAAAAATTACTTTAGAATTTAAAATAAAATAATGCAATAGGTTTAATACATATTTTTTTATATTTTAAATTTATTCAATGCAAATGTTAATGCGAATTTAAATTCCTTAAAACCCAAAGTCATGAACTGTTAATTCAACCCGAAACCAATGGCACCGAATCACGAACATTTCCCAATCCGAAATGAATTGACCCAAATTCGAGGTAAGCTGAACCTTAATGAAAGAACCCGAACCCAACCTGACCACTAATTTGCCAGCAGTAATTGGCATGGATTTACCAAAATCAGATGAAAGTGGATGTAACCATTTTGAGTTTTTTGAGGATGAGCTTTAGTATCGTCCTTGTTTAAATAGAGAACAACTTTAGTTTGGATTTGGAAAACAGTGAAAGCAAACAATTGAAATTTTCTTTGTACAAAACAATTGCAGTTTGAGTTCTCTGTTATAGGAATATGAAAAAACTGTACACTATTAAAATTAACATAGTATCCACTTTCTACTTGAAAAATAGAAAATTTCAAAATGAGAGACGAGGGTGAAAACGTATCGGGGTCTACTTGGAACTACAAATCGATACAGAAAATCTTTGGTAATCAATAGAAAAAAACAAGGGAGTAAACAATAGTTCCAAAAGGCCAATACAGAGCAACTATTCAAGTTCAAAAACAACAGAAAAGGATTCTTAAAACACCAAACGTCGTAAAATCAAGTAAACAGTGTAGGAAAGACCCGTATCTGTTCGAGCAACGAGATTATTTCATTTTGAAAACACGATCCCAATGCTAAGAATCTAAATAACTCAACAAATACCATGATGAAATATGACAACCATGTTGTGCTTGTAATTCTCTCGGACACGTTGATCAAAGGGGAGCAGGGAAGAGAATTAGTAAAAGGACACCTTTTTGTCTTGAGGTGTTAAATAAAAATACCATACCAGCTAAAGAAGTCACTTTCCGGTTGTCTGGGTAACTTGATGGTTACCCCTGCCAAATTTAGGCACCTTTCAATACTAGGCATAAGTATCCTGTAGCCGCTAAGCGCCGATGTTTCTATGAACTGTCTGCAAACAGAACAGATAAAAGTGTCATTATCTTAGTGAGCTCTACAACTCTATCTCCATAACATCCAAACCACTTTTTGTAGACTTCCTCACATCAAAAAAATATTTTTTTTTGCAAAAAAAAAGGCTCAAGGTAGTAAACATTTGCTTACCAGCCTTATCTATAGGTCCACATAAAAATGTAAGGACATTAGGTCCATAATAGCATTTACCTCAAAGTTCTCCATGCATTAGGGGTGGGGCAAAGGATATCCATTAGATTTAGCAGAGATTCTTTAATTCGTTATTGTTCAGTGCTTGTGGACGTATGTGAGAAGATTGGGATGAAAAGGTGGGGTAGGATTTGGGGTGACTTTAACATTTTCCTTTATATATTAAGAAATCTCCCTAGATAGGAGAAAAAGTTATCTAAAATACTAAAATAGGAGTCACCTAGTTGAATTCCCTAATATGAGTGCAATGGAAATGTGATGTAAGATTGATGGCAATGTGATGTAAGATTGATGGCAATGTGATGGAAAACTGATGACAGTATAATATGGCAGTGTCATCAGTCAGCTGGTGGTGGACCAACATCGGCAACCGGTGGCGGGGCGGATGGCAGTGACATTGTGGCAATTGTGGCAGTGTAACAATGACAATGTGAACTCATATTTTGGACTTAAAAGACTAAAGACTTCTATTTTTGGTGTTTTCAAGCTTTTTTACTCTAATCTAAGAAGTTCTCCCTTATACATTTCACTTCTCTGTATTCTTGGACAAAAATGTGAAAGGATTGGATTTTTAAATGAATTTCTAACAGTTCCTAAATGGATTAGTTGGTTGTTTTCAATCAAAGTATTATAATTCAAACAAAAATGTATCATATTCATTGTCTATTTGTCACACATACATCACTTGTCCTCGATGAAACATATACCCAAATAATTGAGAAATACGAAAAAAAGAAATTCAAAGGGGAAATGAAATTGCAAGTCCCACATTTGGGGAAAATCATCCCACACCACCCGTCTCCTTGCCTACCTACGGGTGGTTATGCAGCAGCACTCCGATCAACACCAAAAGCAAAAGGTGCAAGTTATAATTCGTAACATGACACACAAAATGCAAGAAATACCTGATACTTATCTCACCATAGTCAGCGCATCTTCAGATACTACGCACAGTAAATGGCTTGATCAATATGTGGAGGAATTGGTTTTATTTCAGTGCCAAGTTCTTGCTCAATTTTGTGCCTACGTATGAAAAGCAGCTCGTTGGGAATCATGAAAACAATCATATTGTGTGTGACCATCAGCAACCAACTTAAAGCGGGGGAAAAATACATACAAATTGAAACGGTCCTCATAGGTAATCAGGTTCACAGCTAATCCAAGATGCCCAAACCTTCCTGATCGACCGACCTACCAAACCAAATCAAACAAATGAGCTTCCCAGTAATCATATAATCCAGATTTTATCGATTCAAGACTTAATAGATATACTGGAAAATGAAAACTACTAAATCAGGATGTGAATGATTGAAAGTGTCAATCTGATATCCCATCACATGTTTTATTTACTTATTTCATGTTAATTTTTAATGAAATATCCTTCATGATTTATATATCAAAACTTGTAATGAACAATGAATAAAATAAAAACAATTAAAAAATCGAAATTCATGAATTTTTAAATCTTGTAATGATAGTTGCAATCCATCAGGTCAAGATTGATAGTTTCATATTTTGAATCCATAATTGCTTTACCAACAAAGAATCAAGGAGAAACAAAAGCAGAATCAAAATGAATTTAACATACCCTGTGCAGATAAGTCTCCGAGTTCTTAGGAAAGTCAAAATTTATTACAACATTGACAGCTTGAATATCTATACCACGGGTGAATAAATCTGTGAATGTAAAAACTTGGCGGATCAGTTTCCATTGCACCCCCATGTACAACATCACAAGTCACAAGATAAAAATAGTTCATCAAGAAGATACCAGTACAGACAAGATTCCTGCATGCACCATTGCGGAAGTCATGAAAAACTTTGTTCCTATGGTCTTGTAGCATCTTAGCGTGGATATAAAAGCAAGAATAGCCAAGCTCGGTAATTTTTCTTGCAAGCAGTTCTACTCGATTCACAGAGTTACAAAATATGATTGACTGGTTGATTTGCAGCTGTAAAGAGCACTATTAGAAAAAAGGAGACTAACAAAAGGATTTCAAACTCATACATTCACAAACATGCGCGCTGAAGATCATACCTTAGAGAAAAGGGTATTGAGGCAATGGACCTTCTGTCTCTCTTCTACAAACGCATAAAACTGTGTAATACCTTTCAGAGTAAGCTCATCCATTAGATTAATAATGTAAGGTTTTTTCAGATATCGATCTTTGAAATCCTTGACAGTCACTGGAAATGTAGCGGAAAACATCAAAATTTGCCGGTGCTCGGGTAGAAAGCTGATTAGATGCTCCACAGAAGGTTGAAACTCGGGGGATAAAAGTTTGTCAGCCTGGAAAAATATTCATTTAAGTTTAAGCTTACTAAATCCTGGAACACTTGTCGAGTTAACCTCCACCAAAATAATAATATAAAAAACAAATTTTAGACAAGTCCAAAGTGCAGGAAAAACATGTGAACCTTTTTTAGCTCACTCAATAACAATGTAGTATCAAAATGAACATTACTGATTTGCCCATATAATGGTTATATTACGATGAAAATCTGGTGAAACATAGAGAACAGTAATCACATGCAAACTTTTATTAAATGCAAAAGGCAAATTCATTTATGACATTTTAAAACTCATAATCTGGCAGGTAACTACTTAATAGGGCATCAAAATAAATTTCAATGAGAGAAGGCAGAAAAGGTGCAAATTAGACCAGAGACTCGAAAGAGGTCGTTCAGGTGATGTACTAATATTCTTAGCAAAAGAGTGGTTGTATATTTACGAGGAGTAATTACTCCTGATACTTTCTGCATCCGAATACAATTGCAAAAGATGGTATTTGTTTTAAGGTCACATCATGTCTCCAAAAAATGATATACAGAGCCATCATGGTGTTTCTGTTGCTTGAGTATAAAATGAAAAAGAGGAATTTCTTGCCTCAGCTTCTTTCAAGGATGTTTGGGCAATTTATTTACTAAAAAACCCATTTTACAATAATAATTAATTGGACCATTCAAACATAAAGGCAACACCTAATGAAAATCCTTGACCGAGAAAAATTTAGTCACAAATGACAATAATATGAATGGAAGATTAGTTGCTTTAGGATATGCTAGTTTTATCCAGGCCCAATAATATATTCCTATAGATAACTAAACTATCCAGATCCAATAAGCACCCTAAAAATAGGAAAGTAAAACAGAAACACTATACAAATAGTCCCTCCGTCCCCAGAAGAAATTCATGGTTTGACTTCAAGACTTTTTAAGTTCTGAAAAGTATGTGGTTAAAATTTGTTTAAAAGAAAGAGAGATGTAGTGGATTTCTTTAAAAGGATATGAGAGAAAAGTGATATTTAGGAATGGGCAAAAAGGAAAGTGCGAATTTTTTGGGATATTATGTACTTTTTGTTTTACCACTGTCGCATTAGTTAACACAATATGACAACATTTTGCTTTGTGAAGCTACCTCATCCATAGCCAGCATTGTGCACTCTTTCAAAACACAGATGCCCTTTTTGGCAAGGTCGAGTATTCTTCCAGGAGTTCCAACAAGTAAATGAACTGGCTGATGCAATCGCATGATGTCGTCTTTCAAACTAGTTCCTCCTGTAGAAACCATTACTTGTATCTTCAAGTGTTTACCTAATTCCTTGCAAACTTGAGATGTCTGAAGTGCTAACTCTCTAGTAGGGACAAGTATAACAACTGCAATTCCAAATGTTTAATGGTGAGATGAGGTATAACGCTTCCCGCAAAAGAAAAGGTAGAATAAAGGTCAAATCTCACATTCTGCATATGATAGCTTCAAAACTATCTAAATAGAGCAAGAAAGATCTCTTTTGAGAGATGCATTCAGATTCTTTTTCTAAGTGCTTACTTAATTGTCATGCAATAGCCTTCAAAAATTAAAAGTCTATACCTTGAATAGCATTGATCTCTGGATCAATTCTCTCTAGCGCAGGAATACAAAAGGCAGCAGTTTTTCCAGTTCCGTTTTTAGCTCTAGCAAGAATATCACTACCAGTTAGTGCAATAGGGATACTTTCTTCCTGAATAGGAGAAGGTCTTTCAAATCCCTTCTCATATATCCCCATAAGTAGCTCACGTTTCAAGAAGTAATCTTCAAACTCATTTCCTTTCGTTGCAGTCACATCCTGGGCAAAAGAAAACATAGTTAATACCATCTTTCTTAAAACAAAACCAAACAAACACAATGTGTGATATGTTGGATTATAGCACCAAAATCAGGTCTTATTCACTTGAAAGCATTCCTTAAGGTCAAGTAGGTGTAAAAAGTGGGGCCCTTGTAAAGTGTCCTCCAACCAAACAAAACTTCCAAAGTTGTGCACTACAGAACATCATCAACTCGTTTGAGAAAAAATGTAATAGAAATTTTCATTTTTAAATGTGGGGTAACGCATCTATCTATGAGCCAAACAAACACAGTAAATCTCATCAAGTATGCTCTGGGGGGAGGGGGTAAGATGTCCGCAGACCATGGCTCTACCCCCAAAGAATGTAGAGAGACTACCTCCTTGAGGGTAAATATTTTATCTCCACTCATATATTTTACTTAGGCAGTTGAAATAAAATATGAAATAAAATATAGCAATGCTCATCCAAATGACATACATTTAATTGGATTCTTCTTCCTCATAAGATTAACTGATCAAAAGACCAACGGTAAAAAAATATCATTTCTTCTACATGGCCCAAAGAAGTTCAATGTGTGCATATTTCCATTAATGAACCCATTGCTACAGAAGAGAAAAAATTATTCCTCAAAAGATACAAGATGAAATAGCATTACAACACACCTCAGTCTGATAACGAGTATCAGGAGGGGGTATATTTAGCCTAGCCTTCCAATCTTGAGAGCTGAGAAAAGAAAAAGACCAATGGTAAGAAAAGAGTATAATATTAAATTGTAAGCATGGTCACTCGGAAATGCTAATGCTAGCTCCTAATTACATGGTAATTGTATGTTTAGACTAGTTTACTCTAGAAGATGGAACAGATAGACTTCATTGCACGTTCATAAAGAAGGATCATTTCATTATCTCCCCCTGTGATTAACTCTACATATATATTCTTTGTCATATATAGGATCTTATAGGATCTTATGGGAGTGAAGCCACTCCCGGGACCTCTACCAGTCTATTGATCATTATAGAGAAGAATCAGTGGTTTAACACCAGAAAAATCCTAATTGAAAATGATGGTAAAGACAAATTCTTGGCGAGCATCCATTAAGGCAACATACTCGTACTAATTATTGTAAAGATCCTTGATGGTTAATGCCAGACACAACTAATGGAGTAGTTAACAAAGCAAGAGTGCACCTGGAATCAATAGCTTCGGATTGTACAGTTTTCAAGATTTCCTTAGATGAAGATTCCGACATAGAACCGCTAGGGTTCCGCCGCAGCCACTGCTGCTGTTGTTGCGACTGATTCTGCAAGGCCCGCTGGCCATACTGCTGGGGTTGAGGAGGCTGTTGCTGCTGCTGCGTGTACTGATAATGATGGTTCCTGGGTTGATTATAGCCGCCAGAATTCTGGCTTGAACGGAAACCGCCCCCACCGTAACCACTACCTCCTCCGCCCCCACCGTAACCACTGCCTCCTCCACCCCCGCCGTAACCGTTGCCTCCTCCAC